TAATACTAGTCCAGGAGCCAGTGAATTTTTTCGTACTTGTTTTCCCGGTCCGTGTATATTTAAATAATCTATTCCCGGTGAACTGTATATTTAAAATGGAACGCCAATCTATTAACAAAAGTAAGCCAGATTGAATTCGCGCATTACGTCACATCGATACAAGTGAGATTGTTTACAAAGTGCCTTTGCAGGTCTATTTTGCCCATTTCATGTATTTGTTTTTAAATCATGTTAAATTACTATTTTTGAAACTCAACAAGGAGAAAATCCAATTAACTCTTCCGTTGTGTATATATATAAGATAAAGTAACTGAAGTTTTATTAGTAAAGTATTAATACTAAAATTTTAATGTAATTTACAGAAAATAGCTAGGCATGTATTTGTTTTTAAATAATTTGATAATTAATGAAAAAAGTGAGTAAAAGTGGAATGACCATTGGCCAGTAGGTCAGTCAATACAAAGTATCATATATTTCTATTATAACATAACTAAAATACCTACATCTTTTAATCATAAGGACATAAGTTAAAAACCATTTTAATATATGCATTAGAATGAAGTAATAATAACTTAAAGAGACGAGGTCTTAAAGTAATAGCTGGTACAGCATGTTTTTTAAACGTTTCCTCATTGCTGCTAGAATGAAATCACTTACTATGAAATGTGCTCTAAAAACGGCATTTATAGCAGTCAGTGTTCAGTCTTAGGATCTCTTCCTGAAGCCCTCATCCAAGCTGCATACATATTAAAAAATAATTTAAAAAAAAACATATTATATACCTATATAGTTTTCGGTTCTGGGTGCCCTAAAAGAGGCTTAGATAGCTAAAACCCAAAAGTCACACCCCGAACCAGGACGTATTGCTATCCTTTTAAGTAAAAAATAACTACAAATAACTTACCTGAAAAATGAAGACGTCTAACTTTACACCAAAAAAACCATACACTTTTTCCCATTGTTGCAAGCACCCGATGACGATTAGGTAGATATCAACTAGAAGCATGTACTTAATGGTTATAAAGCTTATTTTAACACAAAAAGAATAAAGCACTAGTCGAAAAGCAGCAATCAAATATAAATAGACCACAATATTAAAATTCAAATTAAAAACTATATAAAAGACAAATACTCTAAAAGCGCAAAAGATCAGAACCAAATAAAATGAATAACCATAATAACCTAAAAATCACACTAAAATTGCAAAAACTATTACTGTAAAATCATGAGATTACATCAATAATGCATATGCGTCGGAGTATCGCAAATGTCAAAAGTACAGTGTTTCCATGAAAATTTAGCTATGTTTTTAGCAGTATTATAGAACCATTTCTACCACGCGCATCCAACGATATTGGCGTTCCACAGTTCACTGTATTTTCCTCACACCTCTAGTATAAATGATTTGACATAACGAAACTAACAATAATTATAATTAATGTAGAGTAATAAGTGATTCGGGAATTCTAAATAAAACAATTATTATATAAAAGTGTAAAAGGAAATGTAATTTATTTCCCTATTTTCTTCTGTAATATCTTCAATTATTATGTTTAATTTCTATAAATAAACCAACTGGTTAGGTGAAACATTGTGATATAAGATTTTATTTATGTGTCCTATGCGTACACTTTAATATACAAAACACCTGGAACATTCTTTAAATAATTGTGGTCGTAGAAATAATTGTGTACATAACTCGTTTGAAAGTGTATTTTATGCACTTGCCAAATATATTATCCATACAGAAAAATCAGACTATTTTTTTACTTAACTTCAGTACATCTCTTACTACTAAAACTATTTTTATCAATGGAAAAAAGGGCCGTGTCCTCGTATGTTTTGACGCATTTTCGGCCTCAGCCCATCGGATCCCCCCTCTAAATATATATGAATTTTGCTTAGAATTGCTAATCCTACAATTCTCTATTCGTGCTTGCTGACTGGGAAAATAAATACCGAAAATCGTCACTGTCTCCTGGACTATACAATAGATGATGATGAGAACTTCACAACAAATACACTTTTATGAATGACTAGTTGGGGATGTGGTTTCAAATGACTCGACTTCCTATGGGTTTGAAAACAAGCCCTAGTGCATTTTCTCGGGCAATGACGCTTGCAATGTCAGGGCTTAACTATGAATGTTGTTTTGTTTATCTTGACAATTTAATTGTTTTTGCAAATAATCTAATAAATCATAATAAAAATTTAGTCAAAGTTTTCCAAAGATTAAGGCAAGTAAATTTAAAGTTAAATCCAAATAAATGTGATTTTTTAAAGAAAGAAATTCTTTATTTAGGTCACATAATTTCTGCAGAAGGTGTTTCACCTGATCCTTCTAAAATAGAAGCTATTCAAAATTTTCCAGTTCCAAAAGATTCTCAGGAAGTTAAAAGATTTGTTGCTTTCGCTAATTACTATAGAAAATATGTAAACAATTTCGCAGATATTGCTGCACCACTAAATAATACTTACAAGAAAAAAAGTTCAATTTTTGTGGAGTGCAGAGTGCCAAAAATCTTTTGAGAATTTAAAACAATTATTAACTAATTCACCAGTCCTGCAATGCCCAGATTTTTCTCTAGAAAATCAATTCATACTAAGAACCGACGCGACGCCTCGAATTATGCAGGAGCTGTATTGTCAAACTCCGATGATAATCGGGTTTTCTATTTCGTGTGTGTGTAGTCTTTTTAATATTATGCGGTCTATTATTTTGGCTATGCCGTTAAGTAGAGAGATGGGGCGATAGCTCTCAACAGCCCTAGCATTTTTACCCTGTTTTAGTATAGGGATGACATTAGCGACTTTAAGTTTCGGGGGGGTTGTATTGGAGTTAAATACTGCATTGGTAATATAGTGCAACTGCACATATGCTTTTAATGAAAAATTTTTGATGAGATTGATACTTATGCAATCAGGTCCCGGGCCTTCCTGTTATGTAATCTCTTAACCACATCTCTAATTTCTTGAGGAAAAGTAAGGAGTTTTCCGGGTACTGTATCCCTGTTCATGATTTTTATGTCGTTCACTGTGTTTTCTATTTCTTGCTGTTCAGTTTTATTTGCAATATTATCAAAATTTTTTTGGAAAAGTTCGCCGAACGCTTCTCCCTTTTGTTTGTCGGTGGAGCACACTTTGTCGTCGTACTTCAGTGTAGGAAGTTGCGCGTGAGGCTTGGTGAAGTTCTTCGCAATTTTCCACACTGAGTTGTCCTGTAGGTTGATTGTTTCGAGGGTTTTTCTCCACTTAAGGTTTCGATGTTCGTTGATAAGTTTGTTTATGTGTTTTCTGATGTCGTGGAGTCGAACCCTGTCATCATCTTGTCTATGTTGTTGCCAACGTCGTCGTATGTAGTTTTTGTTGGCAATAAGGTCAAGGATGATTTGTGGGAAGTTGTCTTGGTGCAGTCCGTGCGTTTTTGTTTTGTTGAGGCATCTCTTGCATTGATAATTGCTGTCGTAATGTTTAGTATTTCACTGTCTAATGTAAGTGCGTCATTAATGTTGTTATTTATTGCAATGTTTTTGTCAAGAGTTTGTCTGTATAGTTTCCAATCGGTGTTCTTGTAGTCAAGGTATTTACCCTGTGATCTTGTAATTTTGTGATTGGTTTTTAATTCAAGAAACACAGGGTCGTGGTCCGATGTCAATGTTTTGATTGTTGTTATGTTCTGTATGTTGGGTAAGTTTTTGGCCATGGCTATGTCAAGTGTGCTCGGAGTCGTGCCATTGTAAGGGTAGTGTGTAGGTTCGTCCGTGTAATGTATTATGAAGTCATGCGTGTCGGCGAACCCGTCCAAGATTCTCCCGCTGGGATTAGGTCGAATACAATTTGAATCCCAATGAGGGTGCTTGGCATTGAGATCACCTAACAGGAGGACTCTGTTACCTATTGCCATGATTGTGTGCAACTCTAGAGCTGTAAGATTGTTGTGAGGGTGGTTATATGCGCCGATGATTAATATATTGTGGATTTTAATAATAATATGTTCAAAGGACACGTCAAGATTGAGTTGTTGTTCATACACAAGTGAGCTTTTGACTATGAAGGCTATCCCCCCACCTCTGGAAGTCAGTCTGTCATGTCGAATTACGTGATAGTCTTTGATTGTTAATTTGTGGGCGGGTTGCATGTCTCTGAGATTAGTATAATATCAAACCTATGTTTGTGAATGAAACTGCTTACCATTGGTTTCTTATTAAGCATCCCGTTTACATTGTAAAAACATATTTTAAGCGAGTCTGTTTTGCCGCCGTGGAGTTCAGTTCATAAAATTGTAGTTGTCTAGTTCTGATACGAAATCATAATAAATTATGAAACATTCAGCATTTGTCTGACAATTTGATAACCTGGAATTTAATTCGCGTACGGCTCTAATAAGCTCGCCAATATTTACCAATTTACCTAACTTTTGGAATTCAGTATTTAGGGCTTGGATGTCGTTCATTGGTGCTGATCGGTGATTGGGGACGTGGCTAACTGGCGGTCTGTTTTCTTGGCTGGGTGCATATTGTTCTTCTCTGTGATTGGCCCTTGTGCCCGGTAAGACCGGGAAATCCTCTCTTGCGGGTGGTTTAGGTCGCCGACGGTCCCATACATTTGCTGTGGGGGCCGGTGCAGGTATGAATTTCGGTTTGGGTTGGGTGTTTATGTTTCTCTTTTCTTGGAGTCTGTCCAGTCTTTCGTTGTATGATTTACATTTACTGTAGTTCGCGGGGTGGTCTTGTCCGCAGTTTGCACAGGTGGCGGCCGCGTCTCTGGTTTTAGTACAAATTCTTGTTAAGTGGTCATCCGCACACTTGAGGCAACGGGGTGGTCTCCCGCAGTTGGTGGTAGTATGTACCCAGAGTTGACAGTTGTGACACTGTATTATCTGTTTAGTGGACTTCCTTAGTTCCCATATCATTCGGGTATACAGGACTCTTCTAGCGTTTTTGTTTAGATAATCCAGTGTCAGGGATGGGTCTGTGACTACTAGAAATAGCGGGCGATTTTTAGTGTTCATACGGAATATGTTTCTTATCTTTGTCGTATTCTGCCACTAGGTCGTCCTCGATATCCTGCGTTTTGGCGCCGTCAGCTAAGCCTCTCAAGACAAAGGCGTGGGACTTATCGTCGTTATTTGTGTAAGTGTGATGAGCGATGTTTTCATCTTTGACACTTTGTAGCACACGTAAGTGGTCTTCTTTGTCGCCAACGAAGAGTATTGTTGAATTATTTGTGTGCTTCACACTAAATCCTCCCTTTATTTTGGCTTTTAAATCTTGAATGAGCGCTGACTGGTTTACAGTTTTGCCGTCTACCACGATAGGGGACATCGAGCTTTTTTTGGTGTTGTTGGCCTGTGTTGCTCTGGCAGGGGGCATTTTTTTGGTTTGTACTGGGGCGGGTACATTTGTGGCTTGCTTTTCAGTGGCTTTGTTGTTAGGGATGGCATCTTTGGGCGTATTCTTACGCTTCCTCTTCACGATTTTACCGATTTCATCGTCTAAATCTGAATCGTCTGTGAGAGGCTTAAACTTGTTGCTTGTGGTGGTAAGGGTAAGTTTTGATTTCTCCCTTATTAATCGTTGGAAGTTGGAGCTGAATTTCCTCGGTGTCTCAAAAAGCAGCTCGTTTTGACTCGTCTGGCTTGGGGGTTTATCGATATCCATGCTTTGGGGTAACGAATTGTCCCATAAATTCCATGTACTGTTGGGTGAAGTAGGTAACAGCCAATTTCCCATTGGGTTAGGGCCCCATGCACCCTGTTCCTCCTCTGAGGTGTATTCTCCCGTGTTAAAATTGTGAATTGTCTGCTGCACCGTAATGGGAATGTCTGTGACGTTGGAGTGCGTGTTGTTTTTATCAAGGCTGATTGTTGCATTCACCGAGATTAGGGCTACTCAGTTCACCCGTCCTTCGGCTAGTATTCATACCTGCGTAATTATTAATTTTAATATTCTCCAAACTTTTTATTCTGGATCGAAAAATTTTTGGTATGGCTCCAGTGTTACCTTGGCTGATTCGGACCGTGTGCAAAACGGTGCCAGGGCCAAAATCCAGAACTCTAGCCCTCGTTCCTGTAGGCATTTCGATACTTTTTATGGTGATTTTTGTGAGGTGTTTTGATTCAGCCGTATAGGCGGACTGGAAGTTTGGCATGGGGTCACTCGGTCCGGATGGGGTGCTGTTTCTGGCCGGAAGTTGTTTATTTACCGGTTGGTTGGGGTTTCCCATGGGATCCGAGGGATACACCCCCTCGGAGGGTTTAGTTACACTATCGTTAGTGTTGGTGTGGGTGTTGTCGTCTGCGTTCATGTAGTCGTCTGACTTATCGTCACTAGCACTTCTACTGAGGGTAGGAGGGTTTTCTCTCTGAATTTTTAAGAGTTTTTGGAATATTCTCCAAACTTTTTCTCGTATTCTCCATACTTTTTTCTGGATTCTCCATACTTTCTCTAATGTTCATCTGTTTTTCTGTTTTATTTGGAGGATCCCTATGTGAGTTAAGAGCCGGTATCTGCTTGAGAGTTATTGGGGTCAGCTTAAGGTGCTCTGGTGTTTGTATAATTGAGATATTCCTAAGTGTCTCCGTATGTTTCCATCTATTTCGCTGTCGTTTTGAATATATTGTAGGATATTCGGCGAGGTTTTGATTGCTTGCCCCGGAGGGCTCTATCATGGAGCGAGAGCTCCTACTTGTGGGTTTTTAACTACACTACCTGGCTGACTCGAACGTAAATTAAATGAAAATGATAATTAATAGATTAATAACCTAGCAAATCCGTACTACGAGGAGCGGTATCTGATAAGGTCCGTATTTATATATAAAAAAAATGCGGTTTTTACTTCTAAATTACGTCAAATGATACGGTACCTACTCCCTGCTCAGAAGAATCCCCGACAACGGTAATCCGAGTAATCGGCTTCCCGTACGTGCCGGTGTCAGGCCGAGCGAATGCCAACTATTTGTGGTTTACTGGGGTGTATATGAAATAAATTCTATTTATTATTATTCAATTTCATTTCAAGTTCAATGTATATCGTAATAACAAAAATGCTGAATTGTTATTTTAAAATTATTTTAAAACATTGAACTGGGATCGAACTTCGAATGATGACACCAAATAAAAAAAAATAATAATATTTTTCTAATGTACATTTAAATAATATTAATTGTTATTGTATATTGTTTAATCTGTGATATTATAAATTTAGATGCAAACGAAAAATAAAGAGATTGACTAACAACATGTGGTAGTATACTTTACAAAATTATCTCTAAAAATGAAATTCATAAAAACCATCTTGTGGTATTAATTATAAAATTAATCTTAAAATATATTCACTCGATAAAAGGGAAGTATTGTAATCGTAAAAAAGTCACTTTCCGAGATTATATCAGATTTTCAGGTTTTAGAGTCCCTAGATTACAAAAAAACATGTTTCCCCATTCCGTCGGTCTGTCTGTCGTATGTCGTCTCTCTTCTGTCGTCTGTCTGTTGGCACGATATCTCAAAAACGGCTTTATAGAAACACTTCAAATTTTGTATGCAGATCAGGTTCTTTTCCGGCTCAAAACCATTTGTACTTCCGATCAATTATATACAGGGTGAGAATTTAAAAAAATATATATTTTTAAAACCCGGCCGATTTCGACTAAAATTGATATCTATGAATTTTAGAAACCAATGATAACATATCCTAAATAAGTTTTTAAAAATCAAAATAGCGTTGAAAGGAATCGCATTTAATCAAAAAAAGGGCTTGAATGGAAATAATAGAAAGCGTCCTTTTGGTTTGTGTAACTGGACCATTTTAAAAGCAGCCAACCAATATTGTTCAATAATGGTGAACTTGACGAAGAATACCGAGTCAACGCGTAGTGAGAATTCGGGTGGGATCAAGAAGAAGATCGATGGAGAGAGAAATGAAAAAAAGGGTTTTTGGTTTGATGGTTTTAATTTTAAATTAATAAAATTTAAATACTTAGGCGTTCCCTGTTTTTACAATTTCTATATCGAGGGAAATTCTGGGTAAAATACTTTATTGATTTTTTTGTTTATAAAGAAATTTTCCTGTTACCTAAAAAAAAAATACCGAACTCAAAGCCTGTTAATGTTTGCTATTAATTTTTAATCGTTAATTTCCTTATTTTTTATTATACAGAGTATTTAAAATTAAATTTTAAAAATTATTGGTTTAGCTAACTACGGTCCTGTAATTTATTTCTCACATTAAATCCAAGACTGAAATAAATAGTGTAAAATTGAAATATATAAAAGGAACTTACTCAAAAAAAAGTAATATTTTCCGTGTTTATCATCAAGAAATCATTTTAAAGGTTAACAAATTTTTAAAAATATATGTTTTATCACCAAATTAGTACCTTTAAAACGACATGCGCAAATTTATTGTTTTTTTCTGCTCTTTTGAGATATTTAATCAGATAGGCTAAATTTAGTTATAGAAGGTGTTGTTTTTGAATCGAAAAGAAATGGTCAAATTATGTTACGCCGGACATGGATTCTTATTATTATTATTATTATTATTATTATTATTATTATTATTTTTATGGAATTATTTTTGTTATATTGAGCTGAGATTTTTTTTTATACCGAGTGGTTGATGAGTTTTGGCCGAAAACAAATTCAGGCAAAATTCATAAAACACTCTACCCTGTATCTAGGTAATGAGATGTGATAGACCCATTAATAATGGATGATTTCGAATCATCCAAGTGTCCCACACCTATAGTTAACGTATGTACATTACATTCTGAAACACCTTGTATACGATTTTACTCACAATCGGTTAGTAACCTTCTAAACAGTCGGGAAGCGACTTATTACTTACTTCACTTTCCCAGCTAGCCGAGAAAGAACTTTAATGGCTAGCAAAATGTCACTATATGCTTTGTAAGGTGTTCTGTGTTTGTGTTTTCGTATTGCTATCTGCAGTTTTGTTGGGGTACATTATAGTTAACTGTCGGGCAAGTATATACAGTCAATTTTATTATTAAAAGTGCCATTCAATATGGACTTTACTTGTTGAAAATCCATATTATTAAAATGAGAAAAACCAAACATGGTAGATTCTTAGTAACACTTCACATTTGAAGAAGAAGTTGTACTTCGAAACAATTGCTGTGCAATTTTTAATTTTTATTGTCGCGCAAAGCCAACTGTGTTCTTTGTATATTACCGTACTCGCGACAGGGAAGTCTAGCGCTGGCCATATCGAGACCCATCTTGAGACTCGAGAAACAGAATCGAATGTTTTCCATCGCAGTCTGACGCGTGGAGAATCATTTTCAGAACTTCTAGACTGAGCTTCTAGTTGATTGTTTCGAGAGTGTTACATTTCTATATAAATAATGCGACTTGTCTACAGTCGTTAAATTTCAATTTAAGTGCTGTATAGAAAAGATAAATTGTAATAAATAAATTAGATTTGTGAGTTATAATAGTGCCTAAGTCTTAAATAAATAAATTATAAATAAACTGTTTTTAATAAATAAACTATTTCTAAACTAAACAATCGTTACATTATATTTTAAATAAAAGTGTTTGTGAAAATGTACCATGTTTGGCTTCTCTCATTTTGACAAATTAATTATCTGTCAGATTCAACTTGTTATATTGCTTAGCAAGGGTTTTACAGGTATCTATGTTAAACATTTTTATAAAATTTTGATAGAAATTAATACCAATATTATTATTTGAAACATATATAAAATAGGAGATTGTGAATAAAATCGTATACATACTATTACTCACAATCTCCTATTTTATATAAGTTTAAAATAATAATAGTGGTATTAATTTCTATCATAATTTGAAAAAAAAAAAAAAACAATTTTAACGAAAATACTTGTGAGCAGAGCTGGACAGAGTACATAGTACATGTGAAAGTAGAGGAAAACAGCAAGAAGAGACCAGGCAGGAGAAAAGAGCAGAAGAACCGGAAGCAAGAAGCGAAGCGATTTAGATTTTTCTTTCAAATTTAAAATTAATCGATTTGTATTATTTTTAGTTATTTCTTTGAAAATGTAAAAATCCAAAGAATCCACAACCATAAAAGCTTTAGGATATTGAATGGTTTAACCGTGGTGGAATCATTATAATGGACGCGTCGGTACTCGTACTCGTTTCTCATCAGCTGTAGGAATCGGAAGTACTGAGTACGCTAAAATGCAAAGTAATCGAAATTTTTCGAGTAAAGTCCCATCAAGAAGAAAGTACTTACGAGTACCAATTACTGAGTACTTTGAGTACTCGAATACAATTTTCAGTACAATTTATATAGTACTGTCCAGCTCTGCTTGTGAGACTCCGTTGCTAGGCAATACAACAAGTTGATTGAATATGACAGTTACAGGAATCGCATATCATCAGAGAAGTCTCGTTGAATTCATCGCTTGTACAAACTAAGCACTTCATGATGTTTCAGGTAAGTTTTTTAAAAATTGAATAATAATAATAATAATATAGGCACGCCACTGGAATGAATGAACTCTTAGACTAGGTATAAAGAGAGGACTCGTAACGTCGCAGGAAATCTTGTTCCATTCTGACACCAATGCCAGAGATGGAACTTAAAGATAGGAAACGCTTCCATCGATATCAAACAAATAACGCAGCGGATAATTTGACAACCTGATAGTAAAGGTTATATAAATATCGATTGCACTCTCGTGTTCTGGTAAATAAAATTAAACAATGTAATTACGCTAAATTATTTATTAAAAGAATACTACACTTACAGTCTATTATTGATTAATTATTGAAGATCTATTAATGAATACTCTTTAAATTTTTGATCGTTATGCGTAACTTTGACATTTTTGTTCTTATTTTCCAAATGAATGGCCAACGGTGTCTTATTTGTCGAGTACAAATTCAATAATGGGATTTCAGATATTTTTCTTCCTATATCAAATCTTCTCTCTAACATTTTTAAATTTAAATCTATCAATATCTGGTCAAATACACGATTTATCAAAAATTTGAGACGTACCTACTAGATTAGAATTTAGAAATATTGAGTAGGAAGTTATAAATTGCCTAAGTACTTGCAGACTTTTGTTTAAAAACAAATTTCTACAATTTAATTTTAGTTCCATAAAAGTTTATTACTTTTTTTAACTAAAAATGAACAGATAATTTAAAATATTTGTTCCAGTGGTGTAAAAATAGGGAATAAAAGTTGCCCTCTAACCCTAATAGTGCGCTACTGGTTAAAATTTTCAAAAGTTAGTATATGTTAAAATATTACTTTCTTAAAGAGCAAATTGGTCACCAAATTATAAAAAAAAATATTCAAATGTGTTTTTGATTGATGGCAAATTTTTAAATTTCGATTTCATATTTTTAACACTCTGTATCTCGGTAACTAAGCCCTTTAAAGATTTATGTTCCTATATAAAAATTAATCAATTAACGAGAGCTCTCTGAGCATTGTCGGTCGAATTATATACCACCACGTTGTATTAGGTCATATTTTGAGACCGAAAATAAAATTAATTGTTTACTATTTTTTATGTTGTAATTGGTACTTACCCCATTTTCAAATAAAGTTTTTAATACAGAGTCTGTAACTTTTCCTTCACTCTCCATTTGCCGCACATAAGGACCGATTTGCTCTTTAGCCAGCTTTGAAACTGAAAATAATAATAATAATAATAATAATAATAATAATAATAATAATAATAATAATAATAATAATAATAATAATAATAATAATAATAATAATAATAATAATAATAATAATAATAATAATAATAATAATAATAATAATAATAATAATAATAATAATAATAATAATAATAATAATAATAATAATAATAATAATAATAATAATAATAATAATAATAATAATAATAATAATAATAATAATAATAATAATAATAATAATAATAATAATAATAATAATAATAATAATAATAATAATAATAATAATAATAATAATAATAATAATAATAATAATAATAATAATAATAATAATAATAATAATAATAATAATAATAATAATAATAATAATAATAATAATAATAATAATAATAATAATAATAATAATAATAATAATAATAATAATAATAATAATAATAATAATAATAATAATAATAATAATAATAATAATAATAATAATAATAATAATAATAATAATAATAATAATAATAATAATAATAATAATAATAAATAATAATAATAATAATAATAATAATAATAATAATAATAATAATAATAATAATAATAATAATAATAATAATAATAATAATAATAATAATAATAATAATAATAATAATAATAATAATAATAATAATAATAATAATAATAATAATAATAATAATAATAATAATAATAATAATAATAATAATAATAATAATAATAATAATAATAATAATAATAATAATAATAATAATAATAATAATAATAATAATAATAATAATAATAATAATAATAATAATAATAATAATAATAATAATAATAATAATAATAATAATAATAATAATAATAATAATAATAATAATAATAATAATAATAATAATAATAATAATAATAATAATAATAATAATAATAATAATAATAATAATAATAATAATAATAATAATAATAATAATAATAATAATAATAATAATAATAATAATAATAATAATAATAATAATAATAATAATAATAATAATAATAATAATAATAATAATAATAATAATAATAATAATAATAATAATAATAATAATAATAATAATAATAATAATAATAATAATAATAATAATAATAATAATAATAAATAATAATAATAATAATAATAATAATAATAATAATAATAATAATAATAATAATAATAATAATAATAATAATAATAATAATAATAATAATAATAATAATAATAATAATAATAATAATAATAATAATAATAATAATAATAATAATAATAATAATAATAATAATAATAATAATAATAATATAATAATAATAATAATAATAATAATAATAATAATAATAATAATAATAATAATAATAATAATAATAATAATAATAATAATAATAATAATAATAATAATAATAATAATAATAATAATAATAATAATAATAATAATAATAATAATAATAATAATAATAATAATAATAATAATAATAATAATAATAATAATAATAATAATAATAATAATAATAATAATAATAATAATAATAATAATAATAATAATAATAATAATAATAATAATAATAATAATAATAATAATAATAATAATAATAATAATAATAATAATAATAATAATAATAATAATAATAATAATAATAATATAATAATAATAATAATAATAATAATAATAATAATAATAATAATAATAATAATAATAATAATAATAATAATAATAATAATAATAATAATAATAATAATAATAATAATAATAATAATAATAATAATAATAATAATAATAATAATAATAATAATAATAATAATAATAATAATAATAATAATAATAATAATAATAATAATAATAATAATAATAATAATAATAATAATAATAATAATAATAATAATAATAATAATAATAATAATAATAATAATAATAATAATAATAATAGATAGATGTTTATTGACACTTTTATATACAATTGTACATTTTATGTCACACAGCCGACATCATAAATGTCTTAGAGAATTAGACAAACAAGTAAAATACAATAAAATACATAGTGAAATAAAATAAAATCAACACGATACAATATAAAAATGGAATAAAATATAATAAAACACGTTAAAATAGTCAATTAAAATACAATTGTATGATAGTTACAGATCAGCAACAGGATGAATATAAACGAACAAAACAGTACAACAACATATAATATAATAATAATAATATTAATAATAATAATAATAATAATAATAATAATAATAATAATAATAATAATAATAATAATAATAATAATAATAATAATAATAATAATAATAATAATAATAATAATAATAATAATAATAATAATAATAATAATAATATAATAATAATAATAATAATAATAATAATAATAATAATAATAATAATAATAATAATAATAATAATAATAATAATAATAATAATAATAATAATAATAATAATAATAATAATAATAATAATAATAATAATAATAATAATAATAATAATAATAATAATAATAATAATAATAATAATAATAATAATAATAATAATAATAATAATAATAATAATAATAATAATAATAATAATAATAATAATAATAATAATAATAATAATAATAATAATAATAATAATAATAATAATAATAATAATAATAATAATAATAATAATAATAATAATAATAATAATAATAATAATAATAATAATAATAATAATAATAATAATAATAATAATAATAATAATAATAATAATAATAATAATAATAATAATAATAATAATAATAATAATAATAATAATAATAATAATAATAATAATAATAATAATAATAATAATAATAATAATAATAATAATAATAATAATAATAATAATAATAATAATAATAATAATAATAATAATAATAATAATAATAATAATAATAATAATAATAATAATAATAATAATAATAATAATAATAATAATAATAATAATAATAATAATAATAATAATAATAATAATAATAATAATAATAATAATAATAATAATAATAATAATAATAATAATAATAATAATAATAATAATAATAATAATAATAATAATAATAATAATAATAATAATAATAATAATAATAATAATAATAATAATAATAATAATAATAATAATAATAATAATAATAATAATAATAATAATAATAATAATAATAATAATAATAATAATAATAATAATAATAATAATATAATAATAATAATAATAATAATAATAATAATAATAATAATAATAATAATAATAATAATAATAATAATAATAATAATAATAATAATAATAATAATAATAATAATAATAATAATAATAATAATAATAATAATAATAATAATAATAATAATAATAATAATAATAATAATAATAATAATAATAATAATAATAATAATAATAATAATAATAATAATAATAATAATAATAATAATAATAATAATAATAATAATAATAATAATAATAATAATAATAATAATAATAATAATAATAATAATAATAATAATAATAATAATAATAATAATAATAATAATAATAATAATAATAATAATAATAATAATAATAATAATAATAATAATAATAATAATAATAATAATAATAATAATAATAATAATAATAATAATAATAATAATAATAATAATAATAATAATAATAATAATAATAATAATAATAATAATAATAATAATAATAATAATAATAATAATAATATAATAATAATAATAATAATAATAATAATAATAATAATAATAATAATAATAATAATAATAATAATAATAATAATAATAATAATAATAATAATAATAATAATAATAATAATAATAATAATAATAATAATAATAATAATAATAATAATAATAATAATAATAATAATAATAATAATAATAATAATAATAATAATAATAATAATAATAATAATAATAATAATAATAATAATAATAATAATACGATACGATACGATACGTTTATTGACCACTTTGAAATACATAAATATTTTTGAAGTCCAAATTTATAAAATAAATACAATAAAAGAAGTTTTAAAAATAAAATTACACAAGAATTAATGTACAATAAAAAATAAGATAAAACATTATAATACTACATACAGTGTAAAACGCATTTAAGACATACAACATATTAAAAAAACAATTACGACAGAGATAAAATTTTAAATTTAGATTTGTTCAATATTAGGATAAATAGCTAAGATACTCTTCTACGGAATAGAAGCAATGTTCTAAGAGAAACAATTTAACAAATTTGTGATATTTTAGGCATGACATACTTTTTAAATTGATAGTACTGAATATACTACTTAGTTTGTTGTATAGGTTCATATCTAATTTGTTTTCTTGGGTTGTAGTAAGCCTAGAATAATATGCAATAAGATTTTCTGCCCCTCTTGTTTGATAGTGATGAATATCACAGTGCCTTGCAATTTTAGATATATTCTTATGAATTAACAACAGAGACTCTAATATAAAAATGCAGGGCAATGGTAGGATTTTGTATTTTTTAAACAATTCCCTACAAGGTGCGCGATATTCTGATGCATCAACTATACGTACTGCGGCTTTTTGTAACTTGAAAGCTTTGTGGGCATTTCTTGAGCGGCCCCAGAGTGTTACACCATAAGATAAATTAGAATGTATAAGCGCATAATAAACTGTTACCATGACTTTATTGCATATTATTCCAGTACGAATCTGTCTCATAACAAAAAGTTGCGATGAGAGCTTAGAGCAAAGAGTTTCAATATGACTAGACCAGTTTAATCTGGTGTCAAATGTGACACCTAATAGTTTTACTGGTTCAGATTTTAGAGCAAATTTATCTGAGCTAAATAGCATGTGTTGCGTTTTGCTTTCATTGAGCTTTAGTTTATTGCTGGAAAACCAGGCTCTCGCCGTATTTAAACCATCTGTGCTCTTACACTCATCTCCCTTCGCTAATATGGTAGTATCGTCAGCGTATAAAATCACAGAGCCTATTGTATCCATAGCTGAGGGCAAATCATT